TCTAATCTTCACAGCAAACTGGACAGACAAATGTTTCTGCTCTAGTTATTGCCTCCAGCACCTTGAGTTACATGATCCCTGAGCTGGAGCCCCCTGGATCCTTCTCTGGGCTGTTTTCCTGACTGTGCGGCATCTCTTCAGCACGCTCTGTGCTCATTGCTTTCTCTCTTCCTATAGCGACAGTCACCAGCAACAGCACCAGAAAAGTCTCGATTCTCTTTCCTTTTTGTAAAGTGTGGGACCACTACTTCTCTTTTCTTTAGTCCTCTGCTTGTTTATCTCTTTTGGCGGCACACCAAAGTCAAGACAGAACAGGAGGGGTGTTTTTACTGGGAGTGCACTACAATCCCGGCTTGGACCTGAGCTCTGCTTTTTGGACCTCAGACATGGCTGCAATATAAAAACCACCACTAGACTGGGTGTACCCATTAGAAAGTAATAATAGGGACCACTTGATAAAAGGTCCTGGTCATTATTTTCTCAAGGTGTTTTGTCCAAGCACTGACTTTTTAGTGAAACTGAAGAAATATATTCAATTTCCCTTAATTCTTTCGTGCAATTTCTGCCTTGGTGTTCCATACTATTATTTTGTGCTGTTAAATACCTGTTGTGTTTTATTACAAAGTAACTAAAATAATTATTTTTCCAGTTACTATAGCATCTGGAGAGCTTCCAGGATGAAAGTGAATACAGAAATGCTAAACATTTACTATTTTAATAGATAGCCATCAGTGCTTTATGAACTATTCTATTACATCCAAAAAATACCATTGTGATTTCACAAAGGGTCTTGAGAACATTTGCTTTAAATTGAAAGACTCTATGTCGACTATACCTTGAACACTGTTAATATCGATCCAGCTGCTCTATGGAGCAATCTAATCTTTTCATTGTGGCACTACTGAAAATCTGGTCCATACACTGGCAAAAGTGCATCTTTCAAAGTTACCAACATTAAAGAAGCAAATCGTTACATTTTTCATTAATTAAAAAAGGCTTATAATAGCATTAATGATCCTTTCATCAGAGTGAGTCATTTAGGTAATGGCAGCCTAGCACATTAACTTCCTTTGGCTTTGCCTTGGCCTTTTAACTCCTCCAACTGATTATTACCTAATTTGTAAAGTCTCCCAAATGGGTCATTAGCTCTTAAATAGATTTCTCCTGCTGTTTGGTATATACCCTAGAAACAGTGGGCTGTCAGAGAGATAACTGGTTTCGAAGTAGCTCTTTCTGGGAAAAAAAAAAAAAAAGTTAAGGAAATGCCAGATTAAATTAAGTTTGTGAAATGAATCATGGCTTGAAATATCCCCGATACATGATTAACTAAGACATCACATAGAATTATTTTTTTTCCACAAAGGAGGACTGGCATCAGAGCATATGCAAGCATATGTGTCCTTGTAAGCACCTGCAACTCCTGCTGCTTCCAATCCATAACAGCAATCATGCAACCAGTCATCTAACGTGCTAAACTAGGAAACCAAGGAAGAAGGCTCATGGGACCAGGTCCTGTACTCCTGACGTGGTGACCTTCGCTCTCTGCCTCCCCAGTTGACCCTAGAAATCATGAACCAAGGACAGAGATACCTAAAAGCACAAGAAAATCAGTAGCATTTGGTCCAAGTATATGAACTGCCCAGAGCAACGCTACATTCACCGACCAAATTAGTGATAATGTTCACGGCAAGTGAGAAAAACAAAAGATCGTTTAGCATTTCTCAGCCATAGATTGCATTTTCCTATATTGTTTCTTTACAAAATAATGTACAGCGTGAGACTGAAATAAGTCAGTGTGACTAAGTAAAAACTCTTTGTACTAACCCACTCATCTGAAAGCTATTCGTGTGAAACAGAATAAACGACTACTGGCCAGCAATATCTGCACTGCAGGAACTCTGAATATGGAGGTGTTGAACAAATTACATGTTTCCACACAAAGAAAGTAATACTTAAGATAAAACAACATTTCAACTTTTTCAACTAAACTAATATAACTTTAGAATTAGCAAATGCTTCCATTTGTTTATGCAGCAACTTCTTTGTTCTATTCTTCCACTCTTATAACAGACTCCCTCCTCTCTGGCTCTCTGTTTTAGTATTTTTAATGCAATCATCACCTCTTTTTGAAAATAGGCTACTCTGTACTAGTTTTCTGTGGTTTGCTAAAAGGGCAACAGCTTTGTGTTTTATGCCCTTAGCAAGGACAAGAGATGTGGTGTCCTTTGAGAATAAAATCATTGTCTGGTATGGCCCAATATATGTGGATCTGCAGAACATTAATAATACACTAAAATCACAATCTTCACTAGTGTTTTCATAGCAAACAAATAGCTCTCTATCATTATGAAAGTCTCAGTTTCCTATTTCCATAATTTTCCCCTGGAATAAGTCATGTATACGTTGCAGGTACTTTGGTTACTATGACCTTCATGCAGTATCAAGGCAACATGCAATCACAAAGCTGAAAAGCAGAGTACTCTGTGATCAAAGACTTTTCGTTATTTTCCAGAAATGCCTTTTTATTACAGAAATCTGCTTTATAACTTGTTCTGACAAATGTCACAGCTGGAGAAATTCTTCCTCTAAGGAAAGATTTATGATCTATAGGATAGTTTTCTTTCTCTGTATTTTTCAGGAGACTGGATTCATCAAATACAAACTACTCTTTGATTTGTGTGTCTGCATGTTCAGCACAAAGAAATGAAATACAAGGACAGGAAAAATGACAATACTCTTCATCTACAGGTAACTTTTTGGCACACAAATATCATCTGGTGTGATCAGCTGGAAAGTGCTGAGGTATTAGCATAGAATGATGTGGTAGGAACAGGACTTCCCGCAGAGAAAACTATGCTTATTCTGTTCTTCATGCTGGCCACCATGTTGGCAGGCACATCAATACCCCAGCAGATGGTTTTGAGCAGGGACTCACAAAGCACCACGTGCAGAAGGTTGCCCTTCATGGGAGGATTTCAGCTGAGGAACATCCACCTCTTGAGAGGTCAGGGTACCAGCTGAAATGTCACAGAGCATAGCCCAGAGCAGAAGTAATTGTAACAATAAGCTAGTTCAAGACTTGTCACCTCTGAGCAGCAAAACAGAAATGAGAATGTAATTCTCCTTCCTTAGAGAAGACTACAAGGAACCAGCAGCAACCAAAACCCGTGACGCAGCTCAGTTTTCCTCTGAGTGGGTTACAGAAGCCCAGGCAGCTAATGGGCCTCTGACTCAAGGCTCAGTTTGGCCAAAGGCCACAACACAGATCTTCTGCACTTACACTGGTGAGGACTGAGGTCATCTGTGCTTTCAAGTGGGGTTTCAAAAGAAATTTAGCCAGCCTGGAAAGGACAAATACAACTACAAAATCTGAGCAAGAACAGTCAATAAGGTCTTGTTTACAAGAAAGCCTCTGAATAACTTTTGTGCTCGAAGTAAAAAGGTTGCTTGAGTTCTTCCCTCGATCAAGTATCAGACTTAGGGGGTGGTTAAGAGTTTGTCAGTTGACTTCACTGGGATATGGTATCACCTTTTGTAAACTGTTTTTTTAATACATTAATAGATTGATACACCTGAAAAGAAGATGAGGGCTACACCAGAAAACGTTTAAATGCGTTCTAATCTCTGGGAATCAGCGGAAATGTGCAGCCTCTCCCTCTGAAATGGACCCAAAGCCACAGCTGTTCTGAACTCCAGGTGCTGTATTTTTGTCACCTTCCACTATTTTGACTGTAGCATTCTCAAACAGCCCAGCCACCCAACTTAAGCTAAGAGCATTCAGCACTTTTAAAAGTTCAGCACTGAGAAAAACATTAGTCTTACCACTGAAGAATGATGCTTTAGGTAATGGGATACTCTGTTCTGAAGTCAAATAGCTGCTGCTGAATTACAGTTAGCCGCATAAGTATATGTAACATTTTAAATCATAAAGGTCTGTACTTTATAGAGTAGAGATTAAGTAATTTTAAACAGTATGTGTGACAAATGCAGTAAGTATTACTTGGTGACTTACAGTTTTAAAATGTCCAAGACAACATTCAAAAGTAATCTGATGCTCACAGTCTCTACACTCTTCTCTTTGGTTAGGCTGAATATCATTATTACTGGTAAAGAATATGATTTTTATTTTAAAAAATAGTCTTTACGCAACTAAAGACAAATCTATGATGTTTTAATATTTGGTTTGTATTTCCTCTCCCACTTGTGAGTTTTCCTGATTCAGTATTTTTTTAAAAAACTCAAAGTATCATTTGCTGATAAAAAAGGCATTGTAGCATATTTCCAATGTATACTGTATTTAAGTCCAGATGAAAGTAAATCAGCTATAAATTAGTGTATTCCAAATATAAAAATGCTCTTTATGTCTATATTTTAGGTCACAAACTACATTCACAAACTGTTTTAAAAGTAGGCACTTAAAACAACCTGCATTTGGCCAAAAATAATATCCATCATTTTTTGGTTACTGAGTAACTCCAACAGCACTTCTCTCCGCAATATGCTTATCAGACCAGCATGCACAGCTGGTATTATTATCAGCCTGAAGTAGAAATGTAAAATAGCTTCAGTCTCCCTTGTCCTTCCTTATTCCCCTTGTTTCAAGAAAAGGTGTAACACATACTTCAAGATAACAGTTGGAGTCTTCCCTCAGAGTAAGTCCCAGCAGCTGCCTCTTGTGCTTTGGAAACATTTTGTTGAACCATTTGCACACACTTGGACAGTGCTGAAGCTTAAGCACTGATGCTACATGCTACTCATCAGGCACTAAGTTACAGGAACTGTTTCTTTGGTCACACATTGTTTAATCATAGAAACACGATGGTCCAGACTGGACAGTATTTTTCTTCATCCTGGGCCGTGACAACTCTCCCAGGTTATTTCAACACCTGGCTGTATGTGTTGATACAGACCCCATCCTACTTGTCCCTGAGCCGGTAATATTTGTCCCAACGGTGCTGGCTGTTTCAACAGGCAGTTAATATCCATGTGAAGCCATGTAATTATTTCCCTGAATATCCAGGGTATGGAGGGGGTGGGGGATACTGTATTGAAGTCTGTGGGGTTGGAGTATAAGGTGGAGGTAGGTCAGCTGGGTACTCCATTTCGTATTCGTAACTGTATGGTGGTGGAGCCACTGGAATGGGAGAAAAAAGAAGACATAGTAAAAAATCTTTTTTTCAGATGCAGGCCCCCAAGTATTTTCTAGTTGACAAACAGACTTCCATATAACAGACGTAAATGGAAATGCGCTCGCTTTTTTTTTTAGGCCATCATTATACAGTCACTTTATGTCAATGCAAATCCTTGCTTATTGTCCTTTCCTCCACTGCTTAGCTGTGTGCCCACTGACATGTTGTGCTGGTAAGAGTGTTTGAGTGGCCATATGATAGCAGATATCACAGTGATATGGCAGAGCTGAACTTTTTCAGGGGAGGAAGGTTGGGTTTTTATCAGATCCATTCTCTTCCACCCCCTTTAGCAGCAACATGGATTTATGTTGTCTCAAAATGACAGGGTAACCAGGGCTTTCACTGATCTCCACAGACCCCTCAAATACCCTCTGGATCACCAGGAGATGTGTGACATGCCATGCCAAACACGGCAGCATCACACCTCCCAAGACAAATGTCAGCCTTCTTCCCAGGATGTTCCCAGGGCTCAGGTTGAGCAATAACAAAGCTTTCACCATGTTCACCCCAAGAACATCTGCTGAGACATTTCAGCAGAGCCCATAATTTGTAAACTGGGTCAGGCATTTAGGAAACAACAAAAATATTCACAGTTGAAAACATTTTATCAATTACTTCTACTAACCTTAGAGAAGAAGGATTAATTCAGTGATCAAAAAGACAGTAAATGCTGCAAAATGATAGCATGGTAGGAACTGAAGGCTCCATATCAAGACCTTATAAGAGTAGTCTCTACAAATTTTCAAGTCCAGAGTCTGTTCATGTCACCATGTCACTGTTAAGGTCTAGTCTGCTCACGTCTCTTTATGTCACCATGGATGCTTTCCTATCCCCTCCCTAGATGTCTCAAACAGACTGGCAGTGAAATAACACTTGAATAGAAAGGAAACAGAAACCTAGGATATTTGTGATGGGAGGAAGGGACTCAAATCCCAGTATGCCATGAAAGGCGCTCCCTGCTCTGAGAACCTGGCTGTTGCTGTGGCTGAGGCCAAAGGACGGGCATCCTCTTGCTTGCAGCCCCTGTTCAAAACAGGTAATGGCAGGGAGGAGGGCTGGTCACAAACCCCACAGCCAAAGTCAGGTCAGTCATTACTCCAGAAGTGTTAATGACAGTGGGAAACACAGAAATCATTTGAGAGCTTCCCCCTCCTCCAAAAACTACTGCTGCTCAGAGTCAGAACTGCTCGAACTAATGTTTGCACCAGGAACCAGGAGCATGCAGAGTCAAACTGCCTGTAGGTGGAGAGACAGGGGTGAGTCATTCCAGGAGCAGACTTGGGGAGGAAAAGGCTACAGCCCCGGAGTCTTCATTTTGCTCTTGTTTTTACAGCTTGCAGCGACTGACTATTAGATTCTGAAGCAGCTCCTCAGCAATTCATGGTTGAGAATATTGCAGTTTTCTTTCATTACTCATCTCTCTATGTAAAACAATGTTGCAATGATAAGGATGATTACAGATGGTTTTAGTTTAACTGGAAAGTAAGAGCATGAGGAAGAAAACAAGACACCAAGAGCAGTGAATGTGTAAAGGAACACATAATAAATATTGCATAGCTTGCCTCTAAGTACACATAATGCACCTAGGATTTGCTGCAACCTTTGCAGCAGGAGGGAATATAAAGGCAGATGATCTCTTAAGAGTGGGATGAAAGGTGTTCATCCATGAAACACCATTGCCTTTTATTATAGTGCACTTGCAAGTCATCCCAAGGCAATCACTCCTGGATTTGCAATTAACAATGCAACTGAAGGAGAGACATAGCTGCTTCCAGGGTCAGATTTGCTTTTCAACAATATGGCCACTTTCAGGTGGTGTGGAGTCCAAACAAATGAGCCTTGCAGACCATCTGGATCAGTGCAGATCCACCTTTAGTGCTTCTGTACCCCAATCCTAGACGGGCATGAGTTGACAAGTGTGGTGTAGAGAGTGTCTCTGCACAGAGCTATCTCGTATACAGCCTTGTGTACCAGTTGCCAATCACTGTGGGCACAACTGCAACTGAAGCAGACCCATGAGGGGTCCCTACTGTCTGCTGGGCTGCCCCAGAACCTGTGCCAGATCCGACTAGGGCTCTGTGTCTCCCCTGGTGCTGCCCTGCACCTAGAAAAGCCATTACACCAAAACAACGTTAACCCACAGAGAAGCCTGCACTGAGCATGTTCAACACTCAGCTAACTTTGACCAAGGCACAATGGGCATCTCTGCACTGTGCTCCAAGTTCTTGTCAGTTCAGGCATGGTGCCAGGGGGATGCAGAGAGCTAGCTCAGATCCAGCACCGCATGGCAGCCAGCAGTCCCGCCTGTGACACACAGCAGAGAACAACACCCTGCAAAGACGCCCATTTGCCTTTTCAGAAGTCATCTGGGATTCTGCAGTACCCAGCAGGGCTTGTGAACTCTGGCTGAGTACCAGCCAGCTCAAGGCTGCATTAGACTCCACATGGCACCACTCGAAGCCTTTGCACTAGGATCCACAGACTTTATTGTCCAGGTTTTCCCCTCTCTGCAGTATGCTGGGCCCCCATTATATTGGACAATGAAAGAGAGCTGACTGCATGTGAACAAGAGCAAACAGAAAAAACAAAACACAAAAGAAGCACAACTGATCTGTCACCAGAGAGCCTCTGGTGACAGGGAAAAGGTCTATCCTGCACAATGCAGCACCGCCCTGAATGAGGTCTCAACATGCTACTGCAGGCACCGCAAGCCATACAGCTGCGTGAATGTGGCACCTGGCCAGATCTCACTAGCCCACTGAGCAGCTGAATAAATTAGCCCAGGCAGAAGCAGAGTGGTGCACTGATGAACACTGCACACACAGAGCTGCCTTGCGTTTCTCAGCAGGGAGTTGTGCTGTTCCCCTCTGGATTGAGAAGAGCCTCCTGCTGTACTCATATGCTCCATTTACTGTGGAGCCGTAACTATCCAAAGATACTCCCCTAACATGAGCACAGGCACTCTTGCAGGGGTGTCATTTCGCTTCCTTACCTGGGTACGTGCTGATAGTGTTGATGTGCGTAGTTCGGATGACCCCTACTCGAGTCCCACGGTTGTTCTTCATGCACATGCAGATACAGATGGCAATCCCAGCAATCACTCCCATTATAAAAACTATACCAAAAACAATTCCAGCTATCGCCGTGCCTCTGTGAGGGGAATGGAAACATGCAGTCAGTCTCAGCCAAATAATGTTTAGAAAACAAAAATTATTTTCTCAGGAGTGGTGCCCATTTGAGAGGAAAAGTGCATACTGATGACTGAAAATGCTGCAACTTTTGATCCATCAGGGCATCTGAATAGAAGAAATGAAAGATCTCCAACATGAAAATGAGAAACTCTCTCAAAGTCGCCTTTGTAATTGTGCCAGATCACTCTGCTGATTTACCATATAGTAAGTCCTCCCATTCCAGGGCCATCTGAATTTAACAACTTCTAAATATTACCAAGAATAATTTCTTCCCTTTCTCATCACACAAGACTTTTTTTTTTTTTTCCTAAAGGCATTGGTATTATTTTCTTTTGAAAAGAAAGAGTAAGTTATCCCCAGTAATATATTCCAGAAGCGTCCCGAAATGACTGCACGCTCTACTTCCACAGGAATGGTTTTGTCATTGTTTTATCTTAGGTCAAAAAGTCCTTCTGCTGTGCTTCTGAGCCCACAGATTAAGGAGAACCTCCTCTTCTTGAGGATGAGCAGCAATAAGCAAAGTGAATGACCACTCTTTCACACATCTGCTGCTGCAGCCAGCACAAGTATTTGAGGCTTAAACGATTTCTTTTAAAACGGTCCAAAGGAAAAAATTTAGCTCAGCCCCTGAAGTAATGAATCAGACTTTCCTTGAAATTATACAGAAAAAGGAAAGGAAGCCTTATTGCACTGACGCATGGGAGAAAAAACCAAGAGGCACATAAGAGCTCCCAATAATATTGAGGGCAAAATCAGCCTTTCTGATGAACCCTAGCTCACTGAGGTTTGTTGTCAGGCACAGGCAGTGAAACATATGTTATATGAAAGATGGTATTTATAGCCTATCCTTTCATGAAAAAAACCCAGTGACTTGCAGAAATATTCTTACTCTGTGCATCTCTTCATCTTCCAGCAAAGAACTCAAAGAGCAACCTTGCTGGCAACTTTTTTACTGCACATCTTAATCAATCCAGACTGATAGTTTGTCAATGTGAATAAGCTTTGCTAGGAATTATTACAATGTAGAGAATAAAACAGGCACTGCAATACTACAAAGACAAGTATCAAAAGGAGTCTAAATCACAGTTTAGCCTCTCCATACAAGTGCAGGAACACAGAGCAGGTCTGATTTTCAAAATGCTGATAGCCTACTGGCTTCCGAAGAGTCAGCAACAGTCAGGATGAACTCAGTATTTGAAAAATCAGACCTTCTATTTAGGAACCTAAATATGAGTTTAAGAGCTTGTTTTTAGGCCCCAACTATTCAGAAACTTGGCCAAGATCTGCAGTACAATTATGGAACTATATAGCATAAGTAAACACAGACAATTTTCTGTCTTACTAAAATACACTGCCAGAGAGCTAAATTGCTCTCTGCTGTTATGTAGCAATGAATGAAGAGTGTGCAGGGAGAGTAAACCTGTTAATATCTTGCAGCCTAATTTATAAACCCCTAACTCATGGCAGCAAGCACCTGGAGTAAAACCAGTAACTCAAAACACTGATGTGATCAAGTGCTTTGGTAGTAACCACGATGACTAAGTGAGAAACACCTCCCCACCCCCTCTATATTTGCATCTAACAAAAAGAAAGTCCAATGCTCTTGGAAGATGTGACTAAGAGACCTCCAGTTTTTCTGTCCTTCTCTCTCTGGGAACTTTACCACTACCTTGACAGAATCTGCTGCATGAGAACACAGCTTGACTCAGAAGACACTTTTAACACAATACTCTCTTAATTCCATAAAGTTTTCTTATAATATCACAATTAAAAAATCAGGCATAATGCATGGTACCCCTGTTACAAACAACACTGAATCGTTACTGCTTTAGCTACATCCTCTTAGTGGATGAACTCCTGTGCCCTTTCCTGGGAGCATTGCACCACAGAGTTGCAGGGAACTCAGTTATGCTGAAATAATCCCTCTCCCAACTTGATGAAGCAGAACCAGCCACTTCTGACCACTGGCCTCAGGTCCTACACACTGCATTTCTGCTTTGTACACGGTCCACTGCTGCCCAGCTCCCGCATCCCAGGTAGGCTCTGCCTAATTGGCTCAAATCCCAGAAACCTCAACAGTTTCTTGCACTCCTAGCCAGCTGCACCCTGAGGAAAAGCCACCCTCCACCCTAAAGGCTGACAGAAGTGGGTAACACACAGCACGTTACCTTCCCACTACCAAATTAAAAGTTCTATGTTAATAAATCCCATTTGAAACACAATTTAAATAGTTTGTTATCAGCTGTCTCCAAAGGCAAAGGTGTCCCATTTTCTTCCAGAAGTGGTCAGCCAGATGCTGCTCCGTCATCTGCCATGAGTGATGGGTTGCATTCTTCATTAACCTGTGCCTACTGGACACCCCAGCCTCACACCCAAAGCCCACTCTCCCCTTCTGCATGAACAGCAACTGCTCCAAAGCACTATCACTCCACTAATTTAAATGATGAATCTGTGATACTTTACATAAGAAGTATTCATAAGGAAAGGAAAAAAGATGACAAAAGGTCTGATACCATCTTCAAAAGGAGCTTCCACCTTTCCTGAGATATTAAGGAATACACCTGCCAGCTTGCTTCGGGTGACCCGAGAACCCACTTGCAGTTCTATAGCTTTTCCTAGTGACCCTTTGGTGGTGTTGGCTGACTGGCACTATCTTGACACTGCAAAGAAACAGCAGCAGGGTAAGATATAGCTGTTGAAAGACCCTCTGTATCTGCCTCCATCTGAAATTCGAAAAGGGGTGAAGTCCACCAGCAAAACTTTCAAGTCAGAAAAGGCCTTTCAGTCTAAACACAAATATACTGGAAAGCAAAACCCACTTCTGCCAGGCTAGCAAACCCAGGTCAGTAAGCAAAATACAGAATATCCACTAAAGCATACTTTTGCTGGTCCCCACTGTAGCTCCTGATGGTATAGCCATGAACCAGAAACAAAAACGGTCACCCAAGAAAATATTCACCAGTTTAGCTTTGCTGACAAAACTACTACGTCCAAGTCTTGCTCATGGTTCTGGAATCAGGTCAAAAAGAGGGTTAAATAGCTATACCCACCACTACTTGTGGATTCAGGTTTTCACACTGCAGTGGTAAATTTAGACCACCTATGGATGGTTACCCAAAGAGAGCCTGAGATATGGAGCAAAAGATGTAGGTCACTTTTTACATCTGGTTACAGCCTGAGTACCAGCAGAAAAGTGATTGCTGGCCTTGGTGGGCTTCAGATCAGATCCAGTGCCACGCACGTGAAACTTTCAGGAATCAAGTGTCTGAATTGAAAAGGATCTGTTTGAGAGGACTTCAGATGTACTCTCCCAAATATATATAAAAGAATATATATAATGTTGTATCCCTCACTGATGGTGAGTCAAAGTGTAAACCCATCCTGATTCAGACACATGCAGTCCCTGCCACTAACAATGGCCCCCAGTAAAACTAGGAGCACTCTGTCTCTAAACATCACGCTGCAACTTCTCAACACCAAATCCTGGCAGGACGACAATTGTGCAGTAGATGTTCTGGGCACACAGCACAAAAATAAATGCTTGTTCTTTTTGTGGAAAGCTTATGGTATGACAAGAATGTATGAAGAAAAATAAGCATCTATTTTTTATTAAATGGTTAAGTTTCTCCTTGTGCTTCTAGGGAATTTCTGAACATAAATATTCTATAATAAATAACCCTTATTTTATATTTAAAAATGCCTGCTCTGTCTCTCTCACTCACTGATATGTTAGACTTCTGTATAGAGACACAGAGGGATACAGTGAGTTTTCATGCTATCATCACTATAAACCTGTTCAAGGGAAAGTGCCTAAGAGAAAAAGGACACTGTAAAGCAAGAGAAGTCACACAGCAGAGTCACATAGCAACTAAGAAGTTTGAAATAAAGGGAAAACTTTGAAATGGAACAATTTGAAGGAAAACATGCAAAGTCCTTTACACACTGCCACAGAAAAATAATACACAGAAAAGTAAAGATGGAAAAGGGTATAAGTAATTTTAAAGCTGTAGAAATGTCAAGAGACATTGTCAGGGTAAAAATCAGTTATTCAAAGAGGCAGCTTTCCACCTACTTTTAACAGCATGATGCTGGAAAGAATACAAATCTCATTCACAGCTTAACATTTCTGGCCCAGCAGAAGCCTGTGCAGGTGATCAGGCCTACTGTTGAGTGGCACCAAGGCCATGGCAATGCCAGAGCCAGGCAGGGCTCTCACCATGCTTGCAGTTGGTATGGCTGAGGTGCCTGGGGTCAGAAAACCCATCCCTTGGGGAACTGCTAAGTTGGGTGTTTTACACAAGTGGCAAGAAGCATCACCAGTAGTTGCTCCAGCCTGAAACAAGCTAGGGTTGAGATGACTGGAGAAAAGGAGAGACACTGAAGAGCAGCTCTGCTCCTTCAGGTCTTAATGAGTGGGAATGGAGTTCACTTAGTGCCCCTTAACCCTCCAGAAGGCTACTACTTTGGGAATTAGGCAAGAAGTGGATGTCAAACTTGCTCAAAATGTATGCCCCCTCTGTGGTCATCTTCACTTTGGGGACACTGGATCTTGGAGGCTGAAATGGCTCAATAGGCTAGTGCTTCCTGAAGGAAAAATGATTACTGAATAGGCATCAATTTTTAAATGCATTGCCAAAGTTTGGGAGCCAGGTATACATGGCCTGCACTGCTGTATGGCAGGGACTTTGCAGTCTGTTGGCCTCTGCTCTTCCTTCTTGGGTTCTGCCCTAATTTCACAGGTGGTATGGTGTGGAGCACTACATTTTGCCAGGGAGGGGGCCTGGTTTATTAGTACAAAACTGCAAAGAGAAAACTTTTCAGTCAGCTCTTCCAGAAAGCTCACACACTGTAATGCAAAATATTTTAATTCCACTGCCACCAAGACAGTCCCTCATGAGTCTGCTCACCCAGGGATCCCCAGCAAAGTGCATGTCCCAAAAACTCCCCGCATCACTGCAG